CGGCGTCCGTCTCCCACACGCGCCGAGCACACAGCACCGCCTCCACCTGCAGATCACGAATCCGGCCTCCTTTTCACCAAACTCCTTCTGGATTGGTCAGAAAACACCAAAACAGTGGCTGATTTTTACCAGTTTTCTGGACAGATTTTCGATCTGATTTCTGCCTCGTTTCTGCCGATTTTTTTGGACGATTTCTGGTAGATTTCTCGAGCCAAAACCTTCACCTTGAAGCTCTGATACCAATTGTTGCGGAAGCACTCTCAAAAGGATCTTCAAACGGTGATTTTCCAGGCTCAGTCCAACGTACCTTTCTCTACCAACAACCAATCCACACGGCTCCAAACCACAACCAAATTGATTCACCTTGGTTGCTATACAATCTTACCCACGTAGGACAAGAAGGGATGATGATTTATCGCCACAAAGGCTAGGAGAAGACACCACAAAGGTATACTATGAAAGAACTACCAATTGCACACGTTATACAAGCGTTTTGGACACTTCTGGACACCTTTTTCTCACACAAAAGGAGGGCAGCCGGGATTCACTAGTTTCTTCTCTCAAAATCACACAATCATCATCACAAAGAGGCTAGGGTTATATTCATATATATACTCTAGGGTTAGGCTTTAAGTTGGGCCACTAAAGGGGTAAGCGGGCCAAGATTCAAGCCATCCATAAGGAATACAATTGGGCCGGGTGTAGCTCATGGACTTGGTTGTTGGACTTATTTCATTCATCGGTCTATGCCTATGAAATAATATTAACCCACGTTAACATCATAGCCCGGGATTTATTGGGTATCAAAAACCCAACAGGGCGAAATTTCATGTCCTAGAGGAGAAGTAGTGGTCATTCAGGCAATAATAGCTAGAGAGTTTTCACCGCATGCTCCTAGAAAATGAAAGCATAATGAACATTTTATGCAAAAATATAATCCTTGGATTCCTGTATCAGGACGTCACTACTTCATCATAAGTGGCCTAATCCTTCACAGACAAACCACTCTATTAGTGAAAAATAGGAGAGGAGCCCCAGGCATGTATAGGGACGTCAATGTATCGAGTTGAGCTAGCTTGCAAGTCGAAATTTAAAGCTTGGGCTTGACTCGATCAAAAATTGTTCGGGCCAAAGGCAGAGCTTTTGCTCGATCAAAAAATTTAGGCTCAACCGGAGCTTTCAACTCGGGCATTGAGGAATCGAGTCGAGCCAGCTCGTTTTTTTTTTTTTTTTAGTAGTGACCAATCTAATATTTTTTTTAAATAATTTAAAATTTGTACAATTTATACGAAACCTAAATTAAATAAAAGTCTCAATCCTTCTCTTTTTTTGGGGCTTGAGATCGACTACAATCAATGTAGACAGTTAAAATTGTACAGAATAAAATATTTCATGTTCAATTTTTCTTAAAATAAATAAATTTAAAAATTACGTATTTTTTTATAAACTAGTCAATTTAAAAATTACATATTTTTTTGAAACTTACGTATTACTTACAATATTTTTTTTTTAAGATTTGTAGGCAGTTGATTTTATCATTTTTTTTTTTTTTTTTTTTAGGCTAGGCTCTACTCGTTATGGGCCAAAAGTGACCCGTACAATCCACACAAGTTGGCTCGGGCTCAAGTCAATGCCCCAAAATGGGGCTTGGCCCAAGCCTTGACTCGGTTCTACCATGCTACAAGCAAGGCTAGCTCGGCCATTCTCGGGCTGAGCAATGGGCTGTCCTAGCTGACGAGATAAATTGATACCCCTAGGCATATATATGGATTTCAGCATCATAAAGGAAAAGTCCACATATGATAGAATCCTCGGCCAGCTTGCCATGTATAGGCAAACATAAGATTTATCCTCCATCAATCGTATATGAGGTTCTCCACGAATTAAGGCGTTGTGTCCTTAAAATATAATCAAGAAATCATGCAAATGAATCATGAAAGTAACACGAGAAGAAGAGCCAGACAAGCTCTCAAGGAGAACGTAATTGCTATAATTGAGATGAGTAATCCAAGGAAAAAACTTGAAAACTGATGATTCAATTAACCTCATATAACTGACTGCAAGTCAGAAGTGGCTAGTGTCAAAGAAGTGGAGAGTTTATCCATTAGTTCAGGAAAATACAATTAAGGCTTTGAAAATTGGCAATGAACGTAGCGAACCTATGAAAAACCTGGCAAAAAGCTTCCTCACGATGAACCTAGATGTGTTAGCCTAGAAGCATATTGACATCGTAGGAATAGATCCCAAATTGGCATATCATGCCTTGAAAATTGATCCTAAAATAAAACTTAAAATGCGAAGGAGGCAGTCAATAAGCACTGAGAAGTACAAAGCATTTAAAATGAAGTAGACATATTATTAGAAAACGGCTTTATCTACGAGGCTTATACTCAAATTGTCGATTATTAGTGCTAAAGAGCAATGGAGAGTGGCAAATGTTCCAAGATTTCATGGACTTAAATATTGCTTATCCCAGTGACAATTTTCACTTCCCAAAATTGATCAGTTGGTAGATATAATCATATGACATAAACTATAATGTTTTACGTATGTATACTCGGGATATAATCAAATCCTTATGTATGGACCAGATAAGGAACACACTGTCTTCATAATAGATCAAAAATTATATTGTTATAAGGTAATGACATTTGGGCTAAAGAAAGCTGGGGCTACCTATCAAAGGCCTGTAAACAAAATGTGTGTGGACCATCTAGGAAAACGATGGAAATATACATCAATGGCATGCTCGTCAAAGCCTTCAAGTTGAAAACCACTTGAAGCATTTGGAAGAAGCTTGTTGCGAATATATAGAATGAAACTCGATCCACTAAAATATGTCGTTGGAGTCAAATTTGAATTTTTCCTAGGATACATGGTAAATCTGTGATTATGCCCAAAATATAATACGATTTGGAATGTTGATTCCACAGGAGATAGACGAATTGTTTAAAGGATTTAACAAACTAGAGTTTTCGTGGATTGTGTGAAAATATTTTATCAATTTGAAATGAGATTTAAATATCAATGTGGGCGATTAGTGAAGCATCGGAATTCACTATTTCGGATTAGATCAATCAACATCAATTATTCATACATTTTACTCAAAAATCTAGGTTTTCTATAACACATTCCTACATTTGCTCATTGAAATGAGATTAAGAAACATCCATATACATCAAGCATAAGGAAGTAAATAATCCACCAATGACATAAATGAAATTGAAACTCAACAATTATTTCAATCAATCGATAGAAAAAGCATGACTGGATCTATAACTGATCTAATAAAAGTTAAATCAATCTCAAACAACTTTATATAAGCAAGAAACCTAGATCAAATTAATCTCACTTGTAATCTTGGAATTTAGATTTACTACGAACATATTCCGCTCTTATTTACTGAAACAAGATTCAAGAAACGACAATATACCTTAAGCATAGAGCAGTAATCAAATCACATCAATAAATCAATTGAAATTTAATCTCAACTAATATTTTAGTCATTCAATGAACAAAAGCATGATTGAATCCATGAACAATTTAATAAAAGTTAAACAAACTTCAAAAGTATAAATATAAAGAAGAAATCTAAATCCTAGAATCTTCCGTCAATAAAGAAGCATGTTACATGAATGAAAAGAAATAAAAATCACCAAATCCGATCGGGATCCTTCGTGGCTTCACCAAAGATTTTAGTTCTCCATGGAATTCTTGAGCCAAAAACGAAAGAAAAGTGGCGTGAAGAAGAACAACGGCGTTTTGGGATGACCTAGGGTTATAAAATTGCATAGGAGACGTGTCTTCATAAGTTTTGGACTCAAATTAGGAAACTGGAATTTTCGCCTTGGAAGTAAACCATCCGGCCGCATAGTATTAAGTGTTGCGATCGCATAAAACAAATATTTTCAACCCTAAAGTTCCTTGGAGCCTTCTATGCGACCGCATGGTTTTTGAACTATGCGACCGCATAGTTCAACAATTTTCTCCACTGGACAACTTTTAGTATTTTGGTCATAACTTTCTCTTTTGATATCCAATTGAGGTGATTCAAATTTTGTTAAAAAGATAACTCAAAGGGCTACAACTTTTCTTCAGATATCATCTTCCAATTCAATCGTTTGTCATGTCAAAAAGGGGTCCAATAAAAAAGGCCTTGAAACAAGGATATTACTAGGCCAATACAAAAAATGATGCTATGGGCTTCACTAAAAAATGTGAAAGATGCTCGAAGTATGTATCAATATTACAATAACCCATACGAGAAATAGTAACTAGAAATAGCCCTTAGCCCTTCACAAAGTGAGGTATCAACTTCGCTGGACCATTGCCTAGGGGAAGGTCTAATGTGATGTTCATAATTGTGGAAGTAGACTACTTTACTTAATGGGTAGAACTATATAATATCGATAATGGTATACAATTCCAAGGAAAAAAGTTGAAAGCAATGTGCAATGAATTGAGAATCTGTGACACTTCTTCACTCTATATTATCCACAAGCTAATTGACAAATAGTAGTGAATAAAACGATAAAAAAAATATATTAAAAAGGAAGTTGGATACTACAAAAGGATTTTGTACCGATACAAAAACCACTACAGAGAAAACTCCTTTCTTCTTAGCCTATGAGATGAAAGTCATGGTGCAATCGAAATGGAAGTAAGTTTAGAGAGGAGAATAGGATACGATGACGAACCAAACAAAGAGGCTATAAATGCGAACCTATACCTTATGGAGGAAAAGCGGAAAGACTCACAGCTTAAGCTCTTCATATATCAGAAAAAGATGGAAAAATATTTCAATCCCAAGGTTCACAGAAAAAGTTTCGGAGTAGGGGAATTAGTACTAAAAAAATTATTTTTCGCAGATAAAGAAATGAGCTCCAGTTCACTAAGTCCAAAGTTGGAAGGACTATACACAAGAATAGAAGTTATTGGACTATGGACGTATAAGCTTGTGGGTGAAAATGACAAACCTTTTGAACACCCTTGGAATAACATGTACTTAAGAAAGTATTATCAATGACATGCGAGTTCAATAAAGTTGAATGCTTGTTTAATTTTTTTTATTACATTCTTCAGCGAGCCAAGTGGAATAAAAACATAAACTACTCATTGATATAAAGAAAGGTTACAAGGTGGATACATTAGCGAACTAATCTAGCATACATTGCAAATTAATTTAATTAGAAGACATGTACTACGAACCAATCTATCAACACGTCCATTGTTCCCAACTTCGAGGTTCACTTGGGCCAGAGGATAAAGGGTGGATCGAAAATGTTTTGGTGGAACCAAGTTTGGTGATATGAAACATAACTACATTGATAGCTCCTGGTGCAGCCGCTAGTCATGTCCATCACCTTTCTACTATAGGTGATCTTGCTTCATATAAGGAAAATGCAAAAACACGCAAATTTGTCAACTTATGAATCATTCCCTGTCAACTTCTGAATCATATGCACCAACATCGAAGTCGTGGATGTTTGGCCACTGCATGGCAAAAGGAAGATTAGGTTAGTCCCAGAATCTCACCAGATTATATGAGATATTAACAAGAAAATTGAGGAGAATTTATCAATGAAAGGCCGTGAAATCAATAAAGGTGATGGAAGATCATTAGCAATATCTAAAATGATTCTTGCAAGGGGAACAGGTCCCTCTAAAGATTCAACAATAAGAATAATATTAGAACACATTTCTTATGGTAAAGAATAATATATGTGACTGGTAGCATGGTGTATATATAGTTTTCAAAAACATATCTCAGCCATTAGATCCCAAACACTCATTGTCAGCTATAGAAAAATAAAGCGATCCCAACAATTGAAAATGAAGACGCACACAAACAAAGGGCTCTGAACAAGCGTGAATATCACGCACAGTGAAAAAGCAACTCAAAGGACGCTCCCTCTAGTCACACATTAATTACCATTAAAAAAATTATAAGGTTTCAAGTTTGCAGTCCAAACATGAATAGTTAAGCTCGAACTTAGGGGACTATTTGTTGAATTAAAATGAGCTCCTTTGAGTGAAGTCTAACAATATGCAAAACTAATAAAAATAAAATGAAGACGAGCTCATAAAAGAAAGGGGCGAACCATCCCCCTTGAGTTTCAGACTAGCGAAAACCATTATTAAAGTATTCAAGTATTTAATGTATGACTTCTAAACCAATCAACAAAGGGCACAGAAGATAATGAATAACACGTGAATACATAACAAAATCAGTTATAAATCTACCATTAAATGATCACCACTTGTCATTCACTAGAATGACTTAATTGCCCACAAAATCATGGAGGAAATCTATAAATACCCCTGCCTGAAAGGAGGAAGGTATGCAATTTCAAATATCTCCCCTCCCAAAAAGTCATTTATCCTCTTGCTCCTAGTTGAGCATTAAAATCAGAAAGTATAGGAGGAAAAAATCCTGGTTAGGTTAGGAATTTGTTGATTATAATTTTATAGTTAACATTAACAAAGTTATTTCAACCATCAATTGTTCCAAATATGGCACTCAAATTGAGTATTGGAATGAGCTACCACGTGTTTCTTAGACCATGACTACAAATGCACGTAAAAAATGAAAACAATATTACCCATCATCCAGACAAGAAGTTCAATTATTGTCAAATAATTAATTAGATCGAATCTATCACTCAGTTGAAAATATAACCCATCAGATGTAGGCCTATGAGATATCTTAAATGTTATGTAATGAGAAGCACTGACTACACTTCGATACGGGAACCAATCGTTCATAGTTATCCCTTCTGAAGTAAAAGGATATTGTTAGCAAGTGCTACTTCAATACAAAGAAAATAATGAAGAGGGTAATTCATTGAGAGCAAAGTGCAAGCAAAGGAGCAAATAAGACCATCATCATCTCATGTGATTAGGCCGTTTGGAAAGAATTTATAAAAGAGCAGTGATAAGTGAATAGTACTTGTATGTCTATTGAAATGTGTGAATGAAAATGAAGCTTGACTAATTATAAATTATTTGTAAAATTAACCAAATGAATCTTTAAGATATCATGAATACAAGCAATGAGTAAAATATTTGTCAAGATCGACAGCAAGTAAAAAAAATATTTTTAGCATTAGAATTGTTAAATCCCCAAACCAGAAGAAACGATTATATTTCATCAAACCAAGCCCTTAGGGCCTCTTTGAGCTCATATAGTCTTGTTAACATTTACTAATAATCTACTGGATTAACTCTTAGAGCTGTCCAATGTATATTTCAAATTTAACCAAAGTATACATATGCTCCTTTTTTTCCTGCACAATCTTAAGAGACAAGAACAACAAAGATACATCAAAATTCATAATTAATAAGAACATCTTAAGAATGCTTAGAAGTTTCTCATGGCAATTACTAAGGTGGCAAGAAGAGTCTATGTAAATATGAGCAAAGAACCAAATGACAATGATTCAACAAGTTGAGCATAAACCAGTATATATGCTTAAGAGTAATCACAAAGTCAAGTTTGCCCTTATTTGATCAATCAAAAACAGAAGTCGATGAGAAAACTGTTAAGTTACACTGATTATCAAAAATGTAAAAACTGAACCTGCTAGAGAAGTCGAGTGCAATCTCAATCATTCTTCATTATCCTCTTCCTCAAGAGAGGCATCTCTATTGACTGCCGAAGTAAGCTCAGCTTCAATTGACATAGTTGGCAATCTCTCGTATCCTTTGGAACCCAGTGGTAGAAATTTAGCTCGGCCCAACGTAAGAGTTTGACTGAGCTCATCGGAGCTCCACCTCTGCTGAGCATAAACCACAAATGCTAGAAAAACCGCCATTACTGGTATAGCAATGTCTCCAAACTTGGAGTAGAAATCCAAACGAGGGCTTGCAAACTCATACTCTTGTGAGAAGTAAGGGTTAGGGAAGGGCGACCTCATATAATCGTATATGTGAGGAAGAAGTCTAACTGAAGTTATCCCAATATAGTATAATTTCCTGAGTGGTATACACTGGATCGTCCACACTAGGTTACCAATTATTTGAGGGAGTAGAAAAAAGTCTTGAACAAGACCCATATACTCTTCCAGTACAACTTCCCATTCTCGTATAGTATAAGAGTATCCAGTGGAATCGATGAAACGGTCTGTCTGAAGAGGCTTATGACTTGTGTTCACATAATGGAGAATGAGAACAAGGATAAATCCAATGAAGTGTATGATCAAGGTAGCAAGAAATACTCGCTTGTCACTTGGAACACGATGAGACTCGAGAGGGGTTCGTGTTAGCAATCTGATGCGGGACTTCCACACCTTCTGACAAAGCCTCAAAGTTAATGAAAAGGCAACCAACACTAGAATCTTCACTGCATAGTCCACCAAACGAATCACCCGACTGTTCTGGAGGTCATGAATTTCCGCATCAGCCTTTTTGAAAAGAGCTTCTGCACCAGTAATCAGAGGAAGGCTGTACCCAATAGCTTGTACTCCAAGCATCACAAGAGATATATAAGGAACAGGGTCCATATTATCTCGGATGTACAAAAGTTGGCTGAAAATGCAAGAAATTGCCATGGTAAGTGTCAAGATGCGGAGAATCCCTTCCACACCTCTGCGAGAAAGAATGTCTTCACGTTGCTTCCTATACATAATGGGGAATGTTTGCAGCTTTAACGGGGCAAAATAGAGTGGATCATCTTCATTCCGTTGGCTGGATATTGAAATTCTTGCGGTTGGATTGACTAACCAACGGGCTGTAGTCGGAGGATATGAGATCACCAGTTCAACTAAACAATCCAACCCAGCTTCAAGGTCCATACTTTCATATAGGATCTTCCATGAGGCTCGAACATCTCTGCAACCAATAAGATACATCTTTCCAACACGAGGATCATAAATCCCCTCTACAAAAAGTGCAGAGATATTGCTGTACTCTTTTTCTGCAAGATTAAGTTGAGCAGATACATTCAAAAGGAGCTGTTTTTCTGTATATTCCGTTGTATCTGGCTGAGAAATTTCATTCTGAAAGGATGAACCATTTTCCGAAGACCAGTAGCGCCCGAACAAAGGGCCCACTGACAAAATTTCCATTTCCACGTATGTTTTCGGGAGAACAGAATTAGGATATGGATCTGGCACTGCAGATATGTGAAGAGTGAGATCTTCAGAGAGAAGAGAAAGACTAGAAGTATACTGCTCCATGTAATCTACTTTGGGGAATTTCAATACTGATTTCTTGATTACAGTCCCAATGCTAAAGGGCTCGTTTTTCTCAAGGACTGCACCAGCAGCATCAATTTTTGAGTACTTGTAGAATGGACGAGAAGCAGTGTACTGATCCCACAATTCTGAAGGACGGACTGGCTTCTCAAATGCTAAAGGGAAATATGAACTGGTATTGCCTTTTAAGCTAGAAAAAGTACCCATAAGTATGTTCCGCTGTTTTATTGAAAATGAGAGAGGGATGTATAAGCAGATGCGAGAACTACAGCCAGTGCCATCTGCAGCCACAATCCAAGAGCAACCAACCATGCAAAGCTGTCCACTCCAAGGTTTCCAAATTCCCTCAGCAGAAAGAGTCATCTTATTAAGCCCAGTCCTCTGTGCAGCAGTGAACTGATTCTCAGAAGGAAGAACAACTCTAAATACCGAAGACACCCTTGTAAAATCATGAGTGTCCTGTAGTGTTGTTTTCTCACAGCGGACATCCTGAAGAACAAGCTTGACATTTTTGAAGCTACCGTCTGTGGCATTAATCTCCTTATCCGATGCAAATGGACCCAACTTACTGCAAAATTCTTCTGTGCCATTGCACTTCCAGTTTGGCACAATAGTTAATGCTTCTTGGCGAGTAAATCTCTCAAGTATTACACAAAAATCAAGCCCTTTATATATATCTATTTCACCATTCATCGAGCTATCTTTGAATGGATATGGATCACAAGCTTTTGACACAACATTTTCTGAGCCAAATTCATAGTTTACAGAAGTGCCCAACCAAGAAGACATATGGACTTCATCAAAGTACTTTAGGTTTGACTTGGGATTCAAACTTTTCATGCTTCCCCAGATAGCTCTTCTCGTCAAGGTTAATTTTCTAGGATAATAAAGCACGAGCAAAATCTGATCATCTTGTGTAAGAAGTGGTTGATTAGTATAACCAGATTCTTTCAACCACCCCCACGGATTAGCTGAATCAGGCTGACGAGAAGGCAACACCGTACTCCCCAACAAACACATCACTCTCTCCCCATAATTTTTCTCCCATTCAGCATAAATTCCTTGGAATTTAACAGAGAGCTGAGAATGACCTGGCCATATATCGAATCGAGGACTTCTCTCATAAGGTTTTTCTGCGAATAAACCCTCGAGGGTTATGCCCATTTGCAAAAACCCACTAACGAAAACGGAGTTCCAAGACCGATGACTTCGACTAACATCAGTAACCCAAAAGGAAACCAAATTCAATGGTGATTCGAGATTCGTTGAGCCCTTAGAAAGATCTCTATCATCAAATGGCATCAATGGAGCCCCTTCTCCATTCAATTCTTGCCACCAATCTCCATTCAAAAAAGATAGTTCCTCTGTAATGTCATTCATCCCACTATCATCAGGTTTCAGATCAGAAGCAGATTTCAAAACAAAGGCACATTTTTTATTTACCTCATCGATTCTATCATACTTGTAGCTCACCGTATGCTTATTCCCAAGTGTAGAATCGGAACCAATACAAAGTGACATTAATATCACAAAAATGCACAGAAAAGCATTATTACATGACATGATTTCGAAGATTACTCAACTACCCGCTTACTAAAATTAAATCGAGAACGCCCCAGAAATGATTTTGACTAATGGGTAGGTAAATTTGCAGTTTTTAACGCTTACCTCCTGAGATTTGGCTTTTCAAGTATTCTTGTAAACAGTAAGAGTTCACGAACTCTATGAAGTTGAACTTTTTTGAAGATTGAGTAGATCTTTACGAGCGTACAGAGAAGGAAGTGTTTTGAACGTGAAGAGTGGAATTGAAGTCAAGAAAGTATAATGATCCAATGGTAATGATGAGAGTGATAGCCAACCAAATCATTTATGAGCCCCTACAGTGCAAGTATGGATAATCGCGGAATTAACACAATATACACATGAGAATCGGGATGATCTTGACTCTTGATGGTTGGTCACCCTGAAAACAACGATAAATTTGAAATCTTATAAAATATTGGACTAAAAATATATTTTTCCTATTATCTTGCATTAAAGTTGTGAATTTATAAAGTATTTAGACTTGAATTAAGGAAAATGAAATTTTAACATGAGATAATTTTGGAGTCTAACGTGTCAAAGATCTTGTGTATCTTGGCGCAAGCAAAAAAGGAAATTTGGGAGAATTGAATTCGCTATTAGTTCTCAAAGTAGTACCGAAAATAGGACCAAAATCGATCGATTTTCAACACATTGTCCCAAAATCGATCCATTTAATAGCGGAACCGAAGTCGAACCGATTGATTCTATTTGGTTCGATCTGGTTCCATCAATTCTAATTAAAAAAATGCCCGCCCTTAGGTAGGACGAAGTTGGACGAGAACTAAAATATTCATATTATTAAGTTATTAAAAAAGAAAAAAGAAAAAATAAATACAACTGGTCTGAAAGAATAAAAAGTAATTTAAAAAAAGATGAAAAATAAATACAAAGACAAAAGAAACCTCATTAATAATGGGATAAGCCAAAGGATCCCTGAAGATGACCTCGCGGGTCACCACACCCTCATATTTCCAACATGGATTCCCCGTAAATAAAAGAATCCCGATTCTCATGTGTATATTGTGTTAATTCCGCGATTATCCATACTTGCACTGTAGGGGCTCATAAATGATTTGGTTGGCTATCACTCTCATCATTACCATTGGATCATTATACTTTCTTGACTTCAATTCCACTCTTCACGTTCAAAACACTTCCTTCTCTGTACGCTCGTAAAGATCTACTCAATCTTCAAAAAAGTTCAACTTCATAGAGTTCGTGAACTCTTACTGTTTACAAGAATACTTGAAAAGCCAAATCTCAGGAGGTAAGCGTTAAAAACTGCAAATTTACCTACCCATTAGTCAAAATCATTTCTGGGGCGTTCTCGATTTAATTTTAGTAAGCGGGTAGTTGAGTAATCTTCGAAATCATGTCATGTAATAATGCTTTTCTGTGCATTTTTGTGATATTAATGTCACTTTGTATTGGTTCCGATTCTACACTTGGGAATAAGCATACGGTGAGCTACAAGTATGATAGAATCGATGAGGTAAATAAAAAATGTGCCTTTGTTTTGAAATCTGCTTCTGATCTGAAACCTGATGATAGTAGGATGAATGACATTACAGAGGAGCTATCTTTTTTGAATGGAGATTGGTGGCAAGAATTGAATGGAGAAGGGGCTCCATTGATGCCATTTGATGATAGAGATCTTTCTAAGGGCTCAACGAATCTCGAATCACCATTGAATTTGGTTTCCTTTTGGGTTACTGATGTTAGTCGAAGTCATCGGTCTTGGAACTCCGTTTTCGTTAGTGGGTTTTTGCAAATGGGCATAACCCTCGAGGGTTTATTCGCAGAAAAACCTTATGAGAGAAGTCCTCGATTCGATATATGGCCAGGTCATTCTCAGCTCTCTGTTAAATTCCAAGGAATTTATGCTGAATGGGAGAAAAATTATGGGGAGAGAGTGATGTGTTTGTTGGGGAGTACGGTGTTGCCTTCTCGTCAGCCTGATTCAGCTAATCCGTGGGGGTGGTTGAAAGAATCTGGTTATACTAATCAACCACTCCTTACACAAGATGATCAGATTTTGCTCGTGCTTTATTATCCTAGAAAATTAACCTTGACGAGAAGAGCTATCTGGGGAAGCATGAAAAGTTTGAATCCCAAGTCAAACCTAAAGTACTTTGATGAAGTCCATATGTCTTCTTGGTTGGGCACTTCTGTAAACTATGAATTTGGCTCAGAAAATGTTGTGTCAAAAGCTTGTGATCCATATCCATTCAAAGATAGCTCGATGAATGGTGAAATAGATATATATAAAGGGCTTGATTTTTGTGTAATACTTGAGAGATTTACTCGCCAAGAAGCATTAACTATTGTGCCAAACTGGAAGTGCAATGGCACAGAAGAATTTTGCAGTAAGTTGGGTCCATTTGCATCGGATAAGGAGATTAATGCCACAGACGGTAGCTTCAAAAATGTCAAGCTTGTTCTTCAGGATGTCCGCTGTGAGAAAACAACACTACAGGACACTCATGATTTTACAAGGGTGTCTTCGGTATTTAGAGTTGTTCTTCCTTCTGAGAATCAGTTCACTGCTGCACAGAGGACTGGGCTTAATAAGATGACTCTTTCTGCTGAGGGAATTTGGAAACCTTGGAGTGGACAGCTTTGCATGGTTGGTTGCTCTTGGATTGTGGCTGCAGATGGCACTGGCTGTAGTTCTCGCATCTGCTTATACATCCCTCTCTCATTTTCAATAAAACAGCGGAACATACTTATGGGTACTTTTTCTAGCTTAAAAGGCAATACCAGTTCATATTTCCCTTTAGCATTTGAGAAGCCAGTCCGTCCTTCAGAATTGTGGGATCAGTACACTGCTTCTCGTCCATTCTACAAGTACTCAAAAATTGATGCTGCTGGTGCAGTCCTTGAGAAAAACAAGCCCTTTAGCATTGGGACTGTAATCAAGAAATCAGTATTGAAATTCCCCAAAGTAGATTACATGGAGCAGTATACTTCTAGTCTTTCTCTTCTCTCTGAAGATCTCACTCTTCACATATCTGCAGTGCCAGATCCATATCCTAATTCTGTTCTCCCGAAAACATACGTGGAAATGGAAATTTTGTCAGTGGGCCCTTTGTTCGGGCGCTACTGGTCTTCGGAAAATGGTTCATCCTTTCAGAATGAAATTTCTCAGCCAGATACAACGGAATATACAGAAAAACAGCTCCTTTTGAATGTATCTGCTCAACTTAATCTTGCAGAAAAAGAGTACAGCAATATCTCTGCACTTTTTGTAGAGGGGATTTACGATCCTCGTGTTGGAAAGATGTATCTTATTGGTTGCAGAGATGTTCGAGCCTCATGGAAGATCCTATATGAAAGTATGGACCTTGAAGCTGGGTTGGATTGTTTAGTTGAACTGGTGATCTCATATCCTCCGACTACAGCCCGTTGGTTAGTCAATCCAACCGCAAGAATTTCAATATCCAGCCAACGGAATGAAGATGATCCACTCTATTTTGCCCCGTTAAAGCTGCAAACATTCCCCATTATGTATAGGAAGCAACGTGAAGACATTCTTTCTCGCAGAGGTGTGGAAGGGATTCTCCGCATCTTGACACTTACCATGGCAATTTCTTGCATTTTCAGCCAACTTTTGTACATCCGAGATAATATGGACCCTGTTCCTCATATATCTCTTGTGATGCTTGGAGTACAAGCTATTGGGTACAGCCTTCCTCTGATTACTGGTGCAGAAGCACTTTTCAAAAAGGCTGATGCGGAAATTCATGACCTCCAGAACAGTCGGGTGATTCGTTTGGTGGACTATGCAGTGAAGATTCTAGTGTTGGTTGCCTTTTCATTAACTTTGAGGCTTTGTCAGAAGGTGTGGAAGTCCCGCATCAGATTGCTAACACGAACCCCTCTCGAGTCTCATCGTGTTCCAAGTGACAAGCGAGTATTTCTTGCTACCTTGATCATACACTTCATTGGATTTATCCTTGTTCTCATTCTCCATTATGTGAACACAAGTCATAAGCCTCTTCAGACAGACCGTTTCATCGATTCCACTGGATACTCTTATACTATACGAGAATGGGAAGTTGTACTGGAAGAGTATATGGGTCTTGTTCAAGACTTTTTTCTACTCCCTCAAATAATTGGTAACCTAGTGTGGACGATCCAGTGTATACCACTCAGGAAATTATACTATATTGGGATAACTTCAGTTAGACTTCTTCCTCACATATACGATTATATGAGGTCGCCCTTCCCTAACCCTTACTTCTCACAAGAGTATGAGTTTGCAAGCCCTCGTTTGGATTTCTACTCCAAGTTTGGAGACATTGCTATACCAGTAATGGCGGTTTTTCTAGCATTTGTGGTTTATGCTCAGCAGAGGTGGAGCTCCGATGAGCTCAGTCAAACTCTTACGTTGGGCCGAGCTAAATTTCTACCACTGGGTTCCAAAGGATACGAGAGATTGCCAACTATGTCAATTGAAGCTGAGCTTACTTCGGCAGTCAATAGAGATGCCTCTCTTGAGGAAGAGGATAATGAAGAATGATTGAGATTGCACTCGACTTCTCTAGCAGGTTCAGTTTTTACATTTTTGATAATCAGTGTAACTTAACAGTTTTCTCATCGACTTCTGTTTTTGATTGATCAAATAAGGGCAAACTTGACTTTGTGATTACTCTTAAGCATATATACTGGTTTATGCTCAACTTGTTGAATCATTGTCATTTGGTTCTTTGCTCATATTTACATAGACTCTTCTTGCCACCTTAGTTATTGCCATGAGAAACTTCTAAGCATTCTTAAGATGTTCTTATTAATTATGAATTTTGATGTATCTTTGTTGTTCTTGTCTCTTAAGATTGTGCAGGAAAAAAAGGAGCATATGTATACTTTGGTTAAATTTGAAATATACATTGGACAGCTCTAAGAGTTAATCCAGTAGATTATTAGTAAATGTTAACAAGACTATATGAGCTCAAAGAGGCCCTAAGGGCTTGGTTTGATGAAATATAATTTTGTTAACATTTACTAATAATCTACTGGATTAACTCTTAGAGCTGTCCAATGTATATTTCAAATTTAACCAAAGTATACATATGCTCCTTTTTTTCCTGCACAATCTTAAGAGACAAGAACAACAAAGATACATCAAAATTCATAATTAATAAGAACATCTTAAGAATGCTTAGAAGTTTCTCATGGCAATAACTAAGGTGGCAAGAAGAGTCTATGTAAATATGAGCAAAGAACCAAATGACAATGATTCAACAAGTTGAGCATAAACCAGTATATATGCTTAAGAGTAATCACAAAGTCAAGTTTGCCCTTATTTGATCAATCAAAAACAGAAGTCGATGAGAAAACTGTTAAGTTACACTGATTATCAAAAATGTAAAAACTGAACCTGCTAGAGAAGTCGAGTGCAATCTCAATCATTCTTCATTATCCTCTTCCTCAAGAGAGGCATCTCTATTGACTGCCGAAGTAAGCTCAGCTTCAATTGACATAGTTGGCAATCTCTCGTATCCTTTGGAACCCAGTGGTAGAAATTTAGCTCGGCCCAACGTAAGAGTTTGACTGAGCTCATCGGAGCTCCACCTCTGCTGAGCATAAACCACAAATGCTAGAAAAACCGCCATTACTGGTATAGCAATGTCTCCAAACTTGGAGTAGAAATCCAAACGAGGGCTTGCAAACTCATACTCTTGTGAGAAGTAAGGGTTAGGGAAGGGCGACCTCATATAATCGTATATGTGAGGAAGAAGTCTAACTGAAGTTATCCCAATATAGTATAATTTCCTGAGTGGTATACACTGGATCGTCCACACTAGGTTACCAATTATTTGAGGGAGTAGAAAAAAGTCTTGAACAAGACCCATATACTCTTCCAGTACAACTTCCCATTCTCGTATAGTATAAGAGTATCCAGTGGAATCGATGAAACGGTCTGTCTGAAGAGGCTTATGACTTGTGTTCACATAATGGAGAATGAGAACAAGGATAAATCCAATGAAGTGTATGATCAAGGTAGCAAGAAATACTCGCTTGTCACTTGGAACACGATGAGACTCGAGAGGGGTTCGTGTTAGCAATCTGATGCGGGACTTCCACACCTTCTGACAAAGCCTCAAAGTTAATGAAAAGGCAACCAACACTAGAATCTTCACTGCATAGTCCACCAAACGAATCACCCGACTGTTCTGGAGGTCATGAATTTCCGCATCAGCCTTTTTGAAAAGTGCTTCTGCACCAGTAATCAGAGGAAGGCTGTACCCAATAGCTTGTACTCCAAGCATCACAAGAGATATATGAGGAACAGGGTCCATATTATCTCGGATGTACAAAAGTTGGCTGAAAATGCAAGAAATTGCCATGGTAAGTGTCAAGATGCGGAGAATCCCTTCCACACCTCTGCGAGAAAGAATGTCTTCACGTTGCTTCCTATACATAATGGGGAATGTTTGCAGCTTTAACGGGGCAAAATAGAGTGGATCATCTTCATTCCGTTGGCTGGATATTGAAATTCTTGCGGTTGGATTGAAAGGAACAGGGTCCATATTATCTCGGATGTACAAAAGTTGGCTGAAAATGCAAGAAATTGCCATGGTAAGTGTCAAGATGCGGAGAATCCCTTCCACACCTCTGCGAGAAAGAATGTCTTCACGTTGCTTCCTATACATAATGGGGAATGTTTGCAGCTTTAACGGGGCAAAATAGAGTGGATCATCTTCATTCCGTTGGCTGGATATTGAAATTCTTGCGGTTGGATTGACTAACCAACGGGCTGTAGTCGGAGGATATGAGATCACCAGTTCAACTAAACAATCCAACCCAGCTTCAAGGTCCATACTTTCATATAGGATCTTCCATGAGGCTCGAACATCTCTGCAACCAATAAGATACATCTTTCCAACACGAGGATCGTAAATCCCCTCTACAAAAAGTGCAGAGATATTGCTGTACTCTTTTTCTGCAAGATTAAGTTGAGCAGATACATTCAAAAGGAGCTGTTTTTCTGTATATTCCGTTGTATCTGGCTGAGAAATTTCATTCTGAAAGGATGAACCATTTTCCGAAGACCAGTAGCGCCCGAACAAAGGGCCCACTGACAAAATTTCCATTTCCACGTATGTTTTCGGGAGAACAGAATTAGGATATGGATCTGGCACTGCAGATATGTGAAGAGTGAGATCTTCAGAGAGAAGAGAAAGACTAGAAGTATACTGCTCCATGTAATCTACTTTGGGGAATTTCAATACTGATTTCTTGATTACAGTCCCAATGCTAAAGGGCTCGTTTTTCTCAAGGACTGCACCAGCAGCATCAATTTTTGAGTACTTGTAGAATGGACGAGAAGCAGTGTACTGATCCCACAATTCTGAAGGACGGACTGGCTTCTCAAATGCTAAAGGGAAATATGAACTGGTATTGCCTTTTAAGCTAGAAAAAGTACCCATAAGTATGTTCCGCTGTTTTATTGAAAATGAGAGAGGGATGTATAAGCAGATGCGAGAACTACAGCCAGTGCCATCTGCAGCCACAATCCAAGAGCAACCAACCATGCAAAGCTGTCCACTCCAAGGTTTCCAAATTCCCTCAGCAGAAAGAGTCATCTTATTAAGCCCAGTCCTCTGTGCAGCAGTGAACTGATTCTCAGAAGGAAGAACAACTCTAAATACCGAAGACACCCTTGTAAAATCATGAGTGTCCTGTAGTGTTGTTTTCTCACAGCGGACATCCTGAAGAACAAGCTTGACATTTTTGAAGCTACCGTCTGTGGCATTAATCTCCTTATCCGATGCAAATGGACCCAACTTACTGCAAAATTCTTCTGTGCCATTGCACTTCCAGTTTGGCACAATAGTTAATGCTTCTTGGCGAGTAAATCTCTCAAGTATTACACAAAAATCAAGCCCTTTATATATATCTATTTCACCATTCATCGAGCTATCTTTGAATGGATATGGATCACAAGCTTTTGACACAACATTTTCTGAGCCAAATTCATAGTTTACAGAAGTGCCCAACCAAGAAGACATATGGACTTCATCAAAGTACTTTAGGTTTGACTTGGGATTCAAACTTTTCATGCTTCCCCAGATAGCTCTTCTCGTCAAGGTTAATTTTCTAGGATAATAAAGCACGAGCAAAATCTGATCATCTTGTGTAAGAAGTGGTTGATTAGTATAACCAGATTCTTTCAACCACCCCCACGGATTAGCTGAATCAGGCTGACGAGAAGGCAACACCGTACTCCCCAACAAACACATCACTCTCTCCCCATAATTTTTCTCCCATTCAGCATAAATTCCTTGGAATTTAACAGAGAGCTGAGAATGACCTGGCCATATGTCGAATCGAGGAATTCTCTCATAAGGTTTTTCTGCAAATAAACCCTCGAGGGTTATGCCCATTTGCAAAAACCCACTAACGAAAACGGAGTTCCAAGACCGATGACTTCGACTAACATCAGTAACCCAAAAGGAAACCAAATTCAATGGTGATTCGAGATTCGTTGAGCCCTTAGAAAGATCTCTATCATCAAATGGCATCAATGGAGCCCCTTCTCCATTCAATTCTTGCCACCAATCTCCATTCAAAAAAGATAGTTCCTCTGTAATGTCATTCATCCCACTATCATCAGGTTTCAGATCAGAAGCAGATTTCAAAACAAAGGCACATTTTTTATTTACCTCATCGATTCTATCATACTTGTAGCTCACCGTATGCTTATTCCCAAGTGTAGAATCGGAACCAATACAAAGTGACATTAATATCACAAAAATGCACAGAAAAGCATTATTACATGACATGATTTCGAAGATTACTCAACTACCCGCTTACTAAAATTGAATCGAGAACGCCCCAGAAATGATTTTGACTAATGGGTAGGTAAATTTGCAGTTTTTAACGCTTACCTCCTGAGATTTGGCTTTTCAAGTATTCTTGTAAACAGTAAGAGTTCACGAACTCTATGAAGTTGAACTTTTTTGAAGATTGAGTAGATCTTTACGAGCGTACAGAGAAGGAAGTGTTTTGAACGTGAAGAGTGGAATTGAAGTCAAGAAAGTATAATGATCCAATGGTAATGATGAGAGTGATAGCCAACCAAATCATTTATGAGCCGCTACAGTGCAAGTATGGATAATCGCGGAATTAACACAATATACACATGAGAATCGGGATTCTTTTATTTACGGGGAATCCATGTTGGAAATATGAGGGTGTGGTTACCCGCGAGGTCATCTTCAGGGATCCTTCGGCTTATCCCATTATTAATGAGGTTTCTTTTGTCTTTGTATTTATTTTTCATCTTTTTTTAAATTACTTTTTATTCTTTCAGACCAGTTGTATTTATTTTTTCTTTTTTCTTTTTTAATAACTTAATAATATGAATATTTTAGTTCTCGTCCAACTTCGTCCTACCTAAGGGCGGGCATTTTTTTAATTAGAATTGATGGAACCAGATCGAACCAAATAGAATCAATCGGTTCGACTTCGGTTCCGCTATTAAATGGATCGATTTTGGGACAATGTGTTGAAAATCGATCGATTTTGGTCCTATTTTCGGTACTACTTTGAGAACTAATAGCGAATTCAATTCTCCCAAATTTCCTTTTTTGCTTGCGCCAAGATACACAAGATCTTTGACACATTAGACTCGAAAATTATCCCATGTTAAAATTTCATTTTCCATAATTCAAGTCTAAATACTTTATAAATTCACAACTTTAATGCAAGACAATAGGAAAAATATATTTTTAGTCCAATATTTTATAAGATTTCAAATTTATCGTTGTTTTCAGGGTGACCAACCATCAAGAGTCAAGATCATGAAGGATTATTAAAGATAATTATGTTATTGTTGTTCGATTTTTTTTTAAATTATTTTTCAATCTAGATTTTACCGTTTATGCTTTGTTAAATAATTAATCTTCTTTTTTTCTTTTTTTCTTTTTTTTGGCTTTTATGAGTTGATCTTGAGCTTTGTATTGAATTTTTATTTGTTGCCTTGTTCAATTGATTTTTTTTTTTTGTTAGATTAAAAGAATAACAAATGGTTTTATACTCTATTTTTGTCCTTTTTTTTAAATAGATAAGTAATTTCATACTTTATTTTTATAATTTTTCAATATAATGAACCAGACCGAACCGATTCGGTTCTATAGTTATGGAACAAATGGTTCTATTTTTAATCGCTAAATAATCATGCTACAAAATGATGACCGGCTAAAAAGGAAAAATTATTCAGAACATATTTTCTCTCTAATTTGAAGGATTAAACATATTGCAACACTTATTATTATAAGTACAATATATTTTAATTTTACACTTTAGTCATCAATATCTTTTCATCATATAAAGTCTTCATTAGTTAGAATTTTCAACGATTTTTCGTCTAAAAATTTCATTAATATGGAATTAAAAAACCTATTTGCCTAGTAAACAAAAGAAACAAATAAAAAATACGATTAAGAGGATGTTTTGTGAGGATTAAAATTAGATTTTTTTAGTAGATTGTAATAGAAATTTTGAAAATGTGTGATTGAAAAGTTGCAAGACTCATAAAAAGATGTTAATATGATTTAAATTAAAATCGGACTTTAATCAAAATCAACATGGGCTAAATATATGTTCCTCATTTTAAAGCATACTAGCAAATTTTCTGGACAAAAAAATCAAGAGTGACAAGATATGCTACACAATGAAAGTTAATGATGAAAAAAAAAAAGTTGTGATCATAAATATGAAAATGATTAAAGGTTCGAAACCATTTATAAAAATACGTGGCTACACAACTTATTTTCTCCTTAAGACTAATTGCTTCAAGGTATTGGTCGTACTATTTAAATTAGAGAAAAATCCTTTTTCCGATAATTTCACTTATTCAATCAGATATCATGTTCATCTACATGCTACACAACTTATTTTCTTCTCAAGACTAATTGCTTCAAGATATAAGTCCTACGATTTAAATTAGAGAAAAATTATTTTTCTATAATTTTATTTATTCAATCAGATATCGTGTTCGTCTACGTGCTACATGACTATTTTACTACGAATTTCGTTAAGTAAGAATAATGCGCTTTAAAAGGGTAGGAAAATGACGGTACACTTGTGAAAGGTTAAGGACCTCCCATTTTATTCTATCTTATCCTATGATTAATAACAGCAAAATATAGTCCCAACCATGAATGGCATTGTCATTAAGTAATATGACATAAATAATATCCCAAACACTAGTGTTTAACTCATGCTAAGTATTCGAATGACATGACACACTACAATAAGTGGTGAAAGATAATAATTGATTATACCACGTGTTATAGTGTGCCACGTCATTCGATATTTAATATAAACTAAACATCGGTACTTGGGAAATCAAATCTGATTAACATGATTCCTTTTTTAGATAAAAGATACGCGCACATGCAGAACCTGGTAACACTAAACCAAGTATCCAATAGAAAAAAAAATTATTCACTTAATATTTTAACACCTAAACCATGTTCGTTTCAGCATAAAAAATTGATTAAAATTTGAGCGAAAACTAACAATTAGTTTTAACCATACATTTCATATAATTCATAACTTTCCAACCATATATTTTATCAATTTTTATTCACAAATTTCTAAAATTTTGATTTTTATTTAAATCAAATAGCAGCTTAGATAGGGTAAAAAAAAAATCTAGCCCACGTTTTAGTCCCATTTTTGGGCCAAAATACATTTTTGGAAAAGTGTTTTATTGGATGATATATGGTTAAAAAATAAGAAAAATTTTGGATTTACATGTAAAGTTATTTGGAAAAATTGCAGCAGAGGTTCCAAACCTTTAAAATATTAGCAGACTTTTCTCAAATTTTTATTTTGTTGCAATCGTCATTTCAAACCTTTTGAAACGTTGCGACGAAAGCTCTTTTGGACAATTTTCATCTCAATGTCTGTTAGTTGACTAAGAATTTTGACTTTGACCATATTTTTAATATTTTTGAAAGAATAAAATAATAACTTCCATTTATAACCTTAAAATAAGTTAGAAATTAAATTTAAAAAAAAATAAGAAATTAAAAAAAAAAAGAAAAGAGCCAATGTCTTCTTCCTCTCACCATATCCCCACCTCAAACCCAAAATCAATGACCTCCACCTCCAATAAAAAAATAACAAACAAAAAGATGATTCACTGACTGAATAATAAATATTCTTAACTATTAACCATTGGATGACCATCTTGTCCAATTAAATCAGCTATTTTTATTTATTGAGCCTTTATTTGAGCCACATTATTTTGAAAAAAAATACATTTTTGAGTAGTGTATTGATAGAAAATATGGTTAAAAAATTTGAATTTATACATAGTATTATTTTATTAAGAATGTGTAGTTAAAAAAATGTCAACTCACTATTTAATAATATTTTTTTTCCCAAATAATATGAATCAAACGGTGCCTAAATCTAAGGAAAAGATAATTAGAGTTCTTTTCCGATGGTCTTCGAGATTTACAGGACCGAAAATTAAGAATTGGATAAATTTAATAGGACAAAATAAAACCACAATCTATTTACCATATCCTTAATTTTCAAAATTGAATCTTGAAACCAGAAAAACAAACTCTAGAGGTCCGTTTGATTACAAAAATGAAATTTGGATGGAAAGAAAACGAATTCCAGAGGATTGAATTGCCTAGAACTTGTTATATTGGGAATTGCCAATTAAATATATTTTATTGGTATAATTTTTCACCTAAAAAATGTTGAAATTTTGGATCATTTTGTGTTCGTTTAGTTTTGTTTTTTATGAAAACTGTTAATTAGATGGATAGATTTTTTTACAATTGTGGAAATAATTTATTTCCATTACTAAGAAAGAAAAATTTTAAAAAAAGTTTGAAAACCGATTTTCTCACTAAAACCCAAGGAATTGAAACTCCTTCAAAACCAAGAAAATCAAGATCGCGTGGGGGGAGAAATGGAAAATGTTTTCCATGAAATTTCTTGCCATCAAACACCAATTTTTGGGTGGAAATAGACAATTTTTTCCATAAAATAAAATAAAAAAGCCCTATCAAACAGGCCTAGATGAATTTCAAAACATCAATGAAATTAATAATTACCAAAATTAAAATATGATTTGAAACTGTTGAATTTTAATTTTACAAACCTGAAAAAGAAAGGCTGCTAATATTGTTCCAGCGAATTAAAGAGATTAACGAAATTCAAAAACCCATCCAACAATAATGCCGCAAGAAAGCGAAATACCCATCAAGGTTTTAAATCTATAAATTAATGCCAAAAACAAAACATTAATAGTCGAAATAAAGAATTCAGAGAAGCAGAAAAAAATAATACAGACAAAAAATGAAACCGCATTCTAGAAAAATTACTTCATGAAATGTTCAATTCTTAAGAAATTTCGCACTACCAGACCGAACAGAAACAAAGAGTGAGTTCTCCATCAAGTGAAATTAGAGGTGGAGGTGGAGGTGGCGGTGGCGGTGGCGGTGGCGGTGGAGGTGGAGGTGATTAATTTTGGGTTAGAGGTCGTGGGTGTGGGCTGGGAGTGGGCGTGGGCGTGGGGTAAGAGGAAGAAGACAATTAGGTTTTTCATTTTTTTCTTTTTTTTCCTAATTTCTTATTTCTTATTTTTTTCTAATTTAATTTCTAACTTATTTTATTGTAATAAATAAAAGTTCCTATTTTATTATTTCAAAAATATTAAAAATATAATCAAAGTCAAAATTCTTAGTCAACTAATAAACATTTGGATCAAAACCGTCCAAAAGGGCCTCCGCTACAATGTTTTGAAAGGTTTAAGATGACATTTGAAACAAATTAAAGATTTGAGAAAAGTCTGTTAGTATTTTAAAGGTTTGGGACATCTGCTACAATTTTTCAAAGTTATTTTATAGAAGATTGTGTAATTGAAAATAAATTTTGAAAACATGACTTTTATAAAGATGGAGGCCAAACATAGACTTAACTATGTGTACAGTTTTAATACTATGCAATAAACGCAATCCAATAGCTAATGGTTTCGGGGGTGTCTAGAAGTGCTTCTCATCAAATTGTAATGAGAATTTTGCCAGTTATATAGCACGTAGGTCCCATGTTGGCAGCAATTTTTAAAAATGAAATATCGAAAATGCCCATCTATCATGACAA